TTGACACTTTCATGCAACCGGAGGGCTGTGCCAAATGGCAGCCGTAATTCCACCTGCAAATGAATGAAAACAGAAAACGAAAACTTTCTCGACATACTTTAAAAACAATGGGCGTATGTGGGCGTGGCTCGTTTTCTTATGTGCCACAATTTCAAGTGTAAAAGTGCATGGGAAATCGCAAAGCAGAGTCGCAGGTGAAAACCCATGAGAAAGGCTGCCAACATGCAAACACTTACCGACTGAGGTCAACTACTGATTACGAGTGCTGTGAACGGAATATATATTTTATTCTACTAATTGTTAAATTTGATTTTAGATCTCGGTAATATAAGTACATACGGAGTGTGTGCAATCCCATTTCTCAAAGTGTTTATTTACTGTCGCTCAGCAACAAGTTAGCTTAGGCTTTGGGTCAAGGTGCGTTAAGGGTTAAGAGCAAAGAGATTGTGAAAGAAACTGCAAAGCTTTCATGTTAAGAATCACGTACTTGAAATTCGTAAATACAATTTGGAAGAGTAGGTTGCTCAATGCAGAGGGGACTCCGAAATTTAAAACTTGGAAAGTTCGAAAATTTCCGAAAGTAAAGTCAGAATTTTCGCTGCATCCTACGTATCCAGCGATCACTGTACCTGACTGAACGAATAAGCAATATTAGTCAAATTACATGTTTTTTTTAAATTGTTTTTTTTTTTTTTTGGAGATAGCTTTCATAAAGATCGGTTAAAATAAAACCAAAGTTATATACAACTGCGCAATTGAACAGAGCAGCATCTTTAAGAATTTCTGTATACATGTACAAACACACATTCATAAGTGCTTAATTTAATTTAATTAAGCAATTTTAATTTAATTAATTTTTTTGATTTTTTAGTTTTTATTTTAATATCTAGGGTAATAGCTCCGCGCGGAGAAATGACGTTCCAAAACGACATAACTCCGCGCGGAGATATGACGTTCCAAAACGACATAACTCCGCGCGGAGATATGACGTTCCAAAACGACATAACTCCGCGCGGAGATATGACGTTCCAAAACGACATAGCTCCGCGCGGAGATATGACGTTCCAAAACGACATAGCTCCGCGCGGATATGATATGACCTTTCAAATCATCAAATAATGTCCGATTTTGGAATTTTATACCAGTTTTGATTCGTAAGGATCAGTTCTATCAATTGGCATCAAGAAAAAGGAAATCCAAAATTTTGACCCAAATCGACAAAATGGCAAGGGGTTACATCAGGTTTTTTCTTAAGATCGAAGTCGGTGCGAACATCGAAACTTTTTCGATGATGTTTTTTTTATATCTCGGGTAAATAATGTCTGATTTTAAAATGTTATACCTTTTTGAATGAGTACGGATCCCTACCATCAATTGGCATTCAAACAAATTAATCATATGGAAAAATGTTGCTGACAAAAAACCGATTCGTTCGTAAATTCCATCTTTTTGATTATTTTTTGGAATATTTCCGTCAAATAATGTCAGATTTTGGAATTTTATACCATTTTTGACTCGTAAGGATCAGTTCTATCGATTGGCATCAAAATAAAAGGAAATCAAAAATTTTGTATTTAGAATATATATGCATTTGATGTTGGAAGAAGAGAGTTCAGGAGCTCCCGACTAGAACCTCTTACTCGTTTTCTAACTATTTTTTGTGGGCTTTGGCTTTTGCGGTTGCACGAAAAAGTGCAACGAAATATGCAGAAAAATGATTTAATAAGTTGTTAAACAACAACTCGAAGTCAACCGGATATCGGACTGCGCAGAGAGCTGGCCAAATGGTTTTGCAATTTCCCTAAGTTTTTGTTGCCGTTGTTGCTGGCGTTGCATGTCGCAACCGTTTTGGCCAGATGCGTGTGGCACGATCGGACGAACCGAACCGTTCGTCAATTAAACGGCAGTCGAAATTTACAGCTTGCGCCCAATTAATGCCCCAAGTGGCAAGCCGCACACACACATACACACAGCTCCTTAAGCTCCAGCGCCACTTGCGACTTGCGACTCTCAGACTGTGGACTCACGCTCTGCGCTCCCCACTTGCAGCTCACAAGTCGATTAATCAAAGAGCCAAACGTTTTGACGCTTATCGAACGTTTTAACGCCTGATGATGATCAGTCAGAGGCAGCAGCTGGGTCGGGTGCAGGGGCATGGCTATTGCCAGTGGCAGATGCTGACGACAATCGTCAGCAGCGGCAGCAACAACAATCGCACATTGATTTACGAGTTCCGTTCGCACAATCTCACGCTTGAGGCTGGGACTCGAGCTGCGGCATTCGATTCGATTCGTTTGCTTTTTGACTGCATTCGTTCATTCAATTCATTCACTTCATTCAATTCATTCATTGGACGCCGCGGAGCACATCTCGCGAAAACATTTGTCGACCTCACGTACCGTTCGACAGCATGACGCCAACCCCAATCCCCCCCTCCACAGTCTTCGCCACCTCTTTTCCACCCATCATTGGCGAGCAATAATTGTTGTTTTTTTCCCCCATTTTACGAGTATTGTTTAATCACCGACAACTTTTGGCTACCTCTGCAATCATTTTGCTGATGTCTTTACCGCTTTGATCGAGCCGGCGTTTCATGCATAATAGATTTGTTGTTGCTGTTGTTGTTGTTGCTGTTGTTGTTGCTGCTGCTGCTGCTGCTGCTGCTGCTGCTGATGTGTAGCACTTGGCCGACCGAAGGCATTCGAATTTAGATTTGGTTTCGTTTAACGTATCGGACATGAATCGACAGCAAATTTGTCGACTGCTCAACCCGCTCAACTCGAGCCCTCTTCCCGCTCTGTTCCACACTTGGCCAGCGTCAAGGTTTTCGTTTATTTGCCACACGATTTCAAGGGCAACTGCAGAAGCTTTGTGTACCGGCAATTTGGACTGTTTGTTTATGTTGACAGAGTTGTGGCCGCGGTGCAATTTGTGGTTTCGGCTGCAAATCGAATCGCTGCTCAGATAGTTGTAACACAATTGATTGGGGCCAACTCTTTGCCTCGAACGTTCGCATCTACGTATAAATATGTAGGTTCAAGTGCGCGCTTTCGCCACGCCCCTCAGGGGCGTCTACACAATACCTGGCATAGCTTTGGGTCTCGACTCAGTAAAATTGTCAAATTGCCTTGTTGATGATCTTCTTTAAACATCAAGGCACATCCATTGCCGCAACCACAGGTCACAGTTTGAAAACAACTGGGGTTACAGTCCTAAAGTCAGCAATTCCATAATCAAGAATATTTTTACCGCCAGAATATGCGCGCCTTCGGCTTTGGTATTTACACATATGTGAATGCCATCTAGAAAGATTAACCATACAAGATATGTATGGCTAGTGCTAGAATGGAGTTCAGGGTATCTCCTCATCAGACACTCCCGACTAAAACGAATTTTTTATTTTATAGCATTTAAGCACTGTTGAAACAAAACCCAAACTTAAATCAGAGCTAGTCCTCAATCGGTTGTGGGTTAGCTCGTAGTTGGGGAACTTACATGCTTAAGCATTCCCATGAGGTGTACACAGACCGAGCTGCGATCATTAAGAAAACTGTTGGCCAAGAGTTAAGCAAAGAAAGGTAAACTAATTAACACATCGACACCGAAACTCGATGCCAACAGACATAGAAATATGGGTCGGTTGGGCTATAAGCGTAGTCGGGTAGTACGACTGCCGACTCATGGCGCATATATTTGTACATAGTTGGAGGCATATACATATAGTTCACTTAGCGATTGACGCTAACTAATGTAATTTTGATGTACTGAGCAAGCACAGTTGAACAAACAGCTAGAAAAGTGTGTGTGCGTGTGTGTGTGTGTGTGTGTGTGTGTGTTGCAAGCAATTAACTGGGCGTCAAGTGTTGACCAACTGCGTGAGCTTCACTTGAATCGAGAAATTATCAAAGTGCTGAACATCGATATGTGGAAATGCATTGTGACATTCTCCCAGCTGCCTGGGATGTCCAAGCGAAGTGTGTTGAAAGTTTGTTTGTTCAGGCGCCAGTCGAAGAGATTTCGCGTTCCCCTCTTTTTCCGCCGATTACTGATTTCGCAATGTTTGCTTAATTCCTGAAGCGTGCGCTCATTGAATCGAACAATTTCCGCCTTTCGCTTGCCACTGCATGTCGATAACGATAACGATAACAATGACAATGGCAAACACGATGACGATGACGATGACGATGACATCGATGTAGAACTGGGTAGCGGCAAAAAGTATCGCAATGCCATTGCCAGACCTAGATCCAAAGCAGCCTTGATTATTGGTAAGTAGCTTGGCTGGGACCAAGTCTTGCTACCGTTTATAAATCTCTTAATTAAATGCTCATTAAAATGCTAATTACGCATTTTAAGTAATTTCAACATTTTCAACTAATGTAATTGTTGTTTTTACTTCTCTATACGTTCCATTTCAATGGCACCGAGTTGTTGCCCGGACTTGGAACAGGGCGAGTAAATGGCCATAAAAACCTTCGCGTCGGTTCATTAGGTTTCTCTGTTCTACTCGTAATTGCATTGCGGCTTTTCCGGCTGACGATTTCGATATATGCGCCTTGGGAAATACCCATTTTATTTCCTATTAAATGTCTGAGCTCGACTTACACAGCTTGGCCCAAATTTATACAGTTTCGCCAATAATAATCTGAGTCATCTGGCTTCACTTTGAGGTGCCAAAGACTTATTGGCCTTCCAGACGTTTGTACAGAAAAGCTTCCACCAACAATTGTGGAAAATTGGTGGAAATGGTTGCATGAATTTGTTTCTTTGCGAAAATTCATTTAAATCGAAAAGAAGATATTTTATTTTAGTATTTTAGCGCTACCAAATAACTTGAAGCTAAATTTCAAATTAAAAAAAAAAACATGAATCTCAAAAAATAAGAGGCTACACAAACAGTAGGATAATTAAAAAATATGTTCAAAACATTTGCCTAAAACAAAGAATGTTATTATCAAAAAAAAAAAAAAAACCTAAAATTGTTTCGTTTTATATTACAGAACCCCAATCGACGCCGAGAAGCGTCATGTTGTTGTCGCTGTCTTTGCAATATGTAGAACAAACGCAACAACAAGAACAGCCTGCTCAAGTAATCCAATGCGATTTTTGGCCAAGAATAACAACTCCATTAAAAATCGTGTAAAAAACGGGCTTCAGTTCATCTAATTTAACAGGGGAAGCCAGCACTAAAAAGTTGTTAAAACACCGACATTTTTAATATTACCGGTCCGAAAAGTACTCGAAGCAATTGCCAGAAGCAAGTAGAACGAACAAAAGCACATTGAAGCCCAACAAGAGAGCTTGAAACTGACGAAAAAGTAGCAAACAATTTGCTGGTGTTGTTCACAACAACTGGAACCACAACAACAGCAACAACAACAACAACAACAACAACAACAACAACAACAGCAACATCAACAACAACAACAACAACAACAACATCACAAACAAGTGTCGCCGTTTCTTAATGCAAAACAACCATTCTGTGATATCTTAAGATCCAAAGGTGAGTTGCACAAAAGTAAATCCCATTTGGCCCAGTGGAGCGGAAATGCACTTGCCATAACCTCAATCTTAAGATGTTTAATGCCTAGCAGAGGAAAAAACATGGCTGGCAAAACGAGGAACAACCCCATTGGCCCATTTTATGAATTTCACTTATTTACATGAACAATTGAACATTTTTCAAAAAACAACAATGTGGGAAAAAAAACTAGGTTTGAGATTTGGGTAAGACTAAAGGAATCAAGGCTGTAGAACTGTCTTTGACTCGAAACGGTTTGAGCTCGAGACTCTCATGTTTTATATATCAAAGTTCTTTTACATTTTTCAAATAACAAAGGCACGTAACTTTTGGTTACGTAGAAGTGGGCGTGGCGAATGATCCATTATTTCAGGAAAAAAGTGTGACCTAACGGAAGAATTAATTTCGAGTGACTATTAAAATGCCTAGCCCATGTGATAGGTCTATTGCTTGTACGTTCTGGTAACGTTAGGTTTCAAACCCAGACCGATCTGGCATAGCAGACACCTCATAAGCCCGCTAATTGGCAGCCACTGTAGATGTCAGTCTTATGTTACATTTAAAGAGTTGTCCGATCCCGAGTAAGCTGAAAGTAAACGCTTACCTAGAAAACACATTATAATTGATATGGTCTGTTGCTCTATATAGACTTTAAATGTACAGTATATACTCTCGATTAACATGTGACAACACACGGCATTTAAGCGTAACCGTTAATTAGTGGCTGAGTTGCAGGGTTCGGCCGCCAGGCGGCGCCTCTGAGCGGTGGGTGTAATTGGAGCTGCTGCTGCGGGCTGGTGCTTGCGTGCTGCAACTTGTTGTGCCAATAAATAATATGCAATGTGCCAATCTAAAAAAAAAAAAAAAAAACGAAGACAAAATATAAAAAAGTGTTGACAATGACGAACAACAACAACAGCAATAGCAACAGCAACAGCAACAATTGCTTCGAACCAGTCACATTCTTAAACTGTCAGTGACAATTAGAGAGCAAATTATGCTAACTAAATATGCGACGTGCAAATATTTCAATCGAGCTGCTCCAATCGCTGGCCACGCCGCACAGCGGGACCCTGGCGGACAGTCTGGCCACGACTGGCTCTGCTACTGGCACTGCTTGCTGGTAACTGTTAGCTGGGCGTGGCAGCATCTCCAGCATCAGCAGCAGCAGCAGCAGCAGTAGCAGTCCAGCCATCGACATCTCTCAACTGCATCCATTGCATCTCGTGGCTGCTCTTACGTAAGCTCTGCACCTAGCTGGGCATGCCATAGAGGGTGGGGGGAGCGGGAAGTGGGGAGCCATTATAATTATAGATGCGATCAGCGCTAAATTCAATTTGAACTATTAAAGCAGCCACCCACAGCGAGCAGGCGTCAAATCGAAATCTGAATGCAAATCGGAATCGGAATCGGAATTGGATTTGCATTTGGAGTCCTGGAAACGGTGCAGCAATTGTTGAGCTAAAGGGGCCGCTGTGGGATTGCGAAAGATTTGTTTTTTTGTTTCTGACGTGCAAAATATGTCACGGGGTTTTTGGTTTTTGTGTTTTTTACTTTGCCGCTGCCAAAGTGAATAATTTAACACAAGAGTCGCACAAGTCGTCGGCTCCAATTGCGCCACGGTAGTTAAAAGGTGTCAATCAAGCCGGCTGACCAACATGCAACCCATTGGCCAGACCCAAAGCCACAGCCAGAGCCGCAGCCAGAGCCAGTTAGACAGCGGGCGGCGGCAGTGCTGCGCCTGTTAGCCGAAAAAAGCCAGAATAGCGCTGCTTTTAGGCATTATTCACGAGTGTCTGCTGAATAATTCATTTACTTTACTTTGATATTATTTAATATAAAGATAACTGCACTACAATAAAAAGAAATTCTGTTCAATCTCGTCAGAGTTTTTTTTTTTTTGTTCAGAATGCAGTCTGAGTTTATCTTTGACTCAACCAACAACACAAAACGAGTCTGAGCTATTGGCCTTTTTCAGCCAGATTTGGTCATAATTTCAGCGGAGAACAATATCAGGAATATAATGTTCATAAATTGTAAGAATCAAGAAGAGTCTTGAGCATGATTATATTATACATTTTAATATTTGTTTGCGCCTCGTTCAAGTCCTGGAATCGCATCTCTTCTAGTTAGTTGATTGATTGCAATTGGCGCTGGTAATTATCAATGACATCCATTGTTATTGCTTTTAATGACAACATCTTTGAATGAATATATATAAAATATTACATCCGAGCATAGATTTAATGTTGTAAAACTATATGTAAAATTGTAATGCTTAAATTTAATATTAATTCAAGCTCAGTGGATATATTTTGCCAAAAAAGGCTATATAATTTGCCCAAAGCCAAAACCAGTTGTGAATCACAAGAAAATTAATTTATGCTGCTTGTGTTTGCTGCGTTGCCAACACTGTTTTCTTTACTGTATCTGTCAGGTTAGTTGCCAGGTATTTTGGACGCATGTCATGTTAATTAAAGTGAATTGAACTCAATCAACACGATTCTTGCAACCCCCTATCCACAGTCCCGGCAAACCGGCCACCCGAGCGAACACCCCAAGCCATGCTCCAGGTATTGTAGAGTTTGAGGTGTGCTCACTTACTTACCGACTACTGCAGCAGCTGCTGTCGCCCTTTTGGTGAACTAGTTCAAGCCAAAGGGGCCGACTTAAAGCAGTTAAATACTTTGTCATTAGGGGCAAATCATGATGGAAGGCGAACGCCCCCGAACGGGCATCAAAATCGCTTCACTCTGCATAATAAAGTTGTTGCACGCTGCGCCGGGGCGGCGGCAAGAGAGTGGGGCACGCCCTGCTATTGCTGGGCCATGATCTGGATCCGTAGCTGGGATCTGCATGTTCCCACGCCCAGGTTTTACCCCAACTCAACAGTTAGGCGGCTGCCTGTTTTGCAGTTTTTGTTGCTGTCGCTGTGGCTGGGCTGCTGGCTTTAAATGCAAATCAAGTGATTTTTTATTGCTCGCTTCGTGTGTGTTGTTGTTGTAGTTGTTGTTGTTGTTGTTGTCGGCAATCGATTCGGGGATTCAGTTTTGTTTAGCGGAAACTGTGAGCTGCCTGCTCATTTGTTGGCCTCCCTCGTCTGCCGTTTCTGCAGCGAATGAATGACACAGATTCGGCGCACATAATTGTGGGCTCTGCTACGGAACACGCGGCGCATACGTAATATTGAATATCCAACCAGATTACGCATACGACGCATGGCCCGGCCACACCATATCATTTGACGCTGCATGCTGCGCAATCGGCTAGCACCCTGAAACAATGAGCCAGTTACACCACATAACACATGACATGATATCTATATATGTACATATGCACAAATATATAAATCGTGTCGGAGCAACTGCGAGAACTTCGAGATGCGCCGCATCTGCAGCAATTGTCGATCTCTGCGTGCTCTTCTCCTTCTCCGCGCGCTTGTTGTCGTAGCACATTTGGCTTGTTGTGGCATTATATAATGCTATTGATTAATCTATGGGCTCAATTGCAACATACAACAAAGAAATGATCTAAAATGAAAAACCATAACACAACACAGCAAACAGCAGCAACAACAACAACAACAACAACAAAAAGCCCATAAAAACAGGCTTGAAATCAATGAATATTTTGTAAATATTTTGTTGTCGGCCGCGCACTTCGTGTTTGTTGTAGTTGGCTAAAGTTATGCTTGGCGCGTAACTGGGACAGCAGCAACAGCAACAACAACAACAGCAACAACACCAGCAACAGCAGCAACAACAACAGCAACAACGGCAACACTCTCGCTTTCACGCCAGACCAATCGAACACAGAATAAACAAGTAAGAGTGCTCTGGTCGGGAGTGCCCGACTAAATGATACTCTAAATTCAGTGCCAAGATAGGGTATAGGAAACAGGTTCGGCTCGACTCGATTGCTGCTGCCGAACAAGAACATATTCACTTTATAGGCTCAGGGCAGCCTCTTTCTATCTGTAACATAATCTTGCACAACATCAATTTACCAAATTTGAATGCATTCAGGGTATAAAAACATATAAGCCTATACAGGCAGCGGTTGAACTTAGTTGTATTTGCTTTACTTTTGAAACAAATAATAAAATTAAAACACTCCGTTAATACTCCAGATTCTGATCCAACTGTTAAAGAATGAAATTGGTGACTTTTGTTTGTTTGAATAAAAACAATTCCAAGCTCTGGTTGCGCCATATTCTTTGTTGATATGCACTTGTTTCTATACCCTGTAATGCAAGAAGTTCTGCTATTAGTTCAAAACTTTGCAGCACTTAATTGGTCTTCCTATTATCGTATTGTTGTTGGTTTGTTGCTTTAATTATTTATCATAAATTCGCGCTGCCACCCGCACCACCCACTCCACCGTCTCCATAGCCGTCGCCGTCGCCGTTGCGGGCACGTAAAGAAAAAGTAAAGTAAAAATGTTGCACAACTAAATCGCATTTATTTAAAATTCCAGACCATTGCGAGTTGCGGCGGCGGCAACAACAGCAACAACAACAACAACAACAGCAGCAGCAGCAGCAATAACAAAAACAATAACAACAACAACCACAAAAAAAACAACGAGAGCAACAAATATTTAACAGAAAATTCGTTTGGCTCTTTGGCGGCAAATATGCAAACCGACCGCCGACCGACAAAACCTGCGCCGCATGTCCCAACCTCAACAGTTGGACACCGCTGTGGTGTGGGCGGTGGCGGCGGTGTAGGGGAGTGGGGGTGTGTGGAGCTCTCAGGGGTTGCCTGATCACCGCCGGGAACTATGGGGAACGACAGCAGGGGGAAGGGGGTTGTCGCCCCCGCAGCGACGCCTCTTGGCGCAATGCTGCCGATGTGAGCATATCGATAGCCAAGTGACTTACTTTTTCTTTATGCTATACCCTAGCAGAGAGTATTATGATTATTTCTCGCAATGAGCAACACATCGAAGCAGATATATCCGATACTTGCATTACCAAACTCACCAATTACAAGCTGTTATTGAGCACTCTAATCATTCGAAAAGCACTGCCTAACACTGTTTTATAGTAAGGATATAAGTTCGTTCAAGTGTTTATTCTTTAATTTATTATTATTAATTGTCTTAATTTTGTTGTGTTTCATATGTATTTGGCATTTGCATTTCGGTTTTGTTTTGGATAATCTTTTAATATAGTTATCATTCAAAAAGCATTTCTTAACACTGTTTCGTAGTGCGGGTACATTTTGATTCGAATCGCAATTCTTTATTCCACCATATGGAAGAGTATTGAAACGTGAGCATAACTTTAACTTAATATTCTTTCTCAATTTATTGTGCCTTATAATTTGTATTTTGCATTTGTATTTCGTTTTTGTTTTAGAGTTCTTTTTTTTAAGTTTATGGCCCATAAGTTACGCTAGGCTCAATCAAGTGTAAACGCGAATGCTATCAAATTGCGGCGATGTGGCAACACTGCTTAGGCATTGTCCAAAGTTGAAAATCGCTGGTGGGTGTACTTCTATTGGGCATAGGGCAAACTGTACATAACTGTACATATATTCCAAATTCTAATAAATCAAATACATTTCATTACATACAGAAGTGTTGCAGAACACTCAAATGTTAGCAATAGTGTGGTGAAACTTCTTAAAATTGCATTCCCAAACTAAAAACGGAAAATTTTCTTGACTTTTGAGCAATTTTATTATTGTTACCTTTTTTTGGCCTATTTGCAAGCCAATCTCTCCATTCAGCTAATGATTATTTAATCTTAATGCAGCTTTTGTAATTAGCTTTCCATAGTTTTTGTGCTGATGAAAATTAGCTCAAATTGTGGATTTTTATTGTTAATCATTGGTTTGCTCCAATTAGTAAATACAATAAATAGCGTGAATTTGAATTAAAATATTGTTTTTATTATTTGAAATTTCGGTCTATTAATACAGCTTTCGGGGTGGGTTCCCCAAATTGTGGCTGACTTCCTGCAAGTAATGTTGAAAGCGCCGAAATTTGATATCAATTGTTGTGCTAATGTACGGGTTACATTAATTAGAGCAGAGCGTACATTGGCTTTCCAAATTATAAATGGGTTTGTCTTTGTTCAGATTTGAAAACTAAAAGCTATGTGAATGCCACAGCAGATGTCAGTATTTATTGGTGTTTCAGTGCGCATAAACGTGCGCTTACAAAATTGTGGAGAAGTGTTGCAAAGGCAGCAAATTGTAAAGATGGTTCTCGGTGTTGTACTTGTATTAAAGGTTTTTATTTAGAAAAGTGTCGCAATCCTTTTTTGGAAATATTAATACATTTTAAAGGTAAATAATGAAAATGGAAATAATTATCGCAGCGACCCAATTGCAGATGTAGAAGTGTTGCAAAACAAACAAATATCAATTGCGATTCTTGGTCTAGTGCTGTAAAATTGCAGGCATATTCAATATTATGTTAAGCAACAAAATACATACATTCGTTTGTAAGTTAGGCAACATTTCTTGCGTGGTTTTCAACACCGTTTGCTGCCCACGCAGCACCCTTCTCCCTCCCAACCGGCCACACTCAATCATTCTCCTGGCTTGGCCTCCAACAGACGCCCAAATCATTAACGCCTTCACATAGAGACAGAGGCGAAAACGTAGAATGCCAAACCCAAATCAAGGACAACAAATTGAAATCAAAAATCATAAATAACATTTTACTTTTGTTGTCAATTTTGTATTCGTTGTTGTTGCTCTCGTTGTTGTTGTTGTTGATAGTTGACTCATACGCGCTGCGATCGTGTCTAATTGGCCAACTTCAAGCGACAGGTTGAAGACTTGGAGTTTGAAGTTGTTTTGGGTTTGGGTTTTGGTTTTGGTTTTGGATTTGGAGTGTTTCCAAGTGCAGGCGCCGGCGTCGCACTGTGGGCGCAGTTGCCGAGCCCAAAAATAATAATAAAGCAACAACAACAGCAGCAGCAACGCGAACGATGCAAAGTGCAGCCAAACATAAAAGAAAAAAAAAAAAAAATAACAACAATAACAAAAATTATACTATAAAAGGTAAAACCCCAAAAACTGAAACAATCAAATGGAACGTGATTCGTAACTGGATTCGAAGCAACGGAATGCGCCAACGCGCGCCTCAGCGCCAGAGTCAGAGCCAGCGCCTGCGCCTGCGCCTGTCCAGCGTTTTTTTTTTTTGTTAATACGTAGAACCAGCGACAACAACAACAGCACCCAAATTGTTGTTTGGCAATCAAAAGTAAAACAAAAACCAAAAACCGAGCAAAAAAAAAAAGTACCTAACGCGAAATACAAGACAGTAAAAGAGTAACAAAACTGCTTGTTTCGTGAGTGCTCGACTTGTGCACACCCTGTGGCAAAGCATAAGCGCTTATTAAAATACACAAATATTGGTGTACTACAATTTTTTTGGTTTATTTTATTTTTTTTTTTTTAATTGAGTTCGTTTAAAGTTTGTTAAGGTTTAATGATTAAAACATAATTAAATGCCTATTACGTAACTTCGCGTCTTATACTAGTTTGCCTCCTGCTGACTGAATATACCCTTACACTGTCATTTCATTTGGTACAGGGTACATCATAAAACATGAAAACCGTTCGCGTGCGCGCGCTTGCCGCTGCCTAACGGTGTTTGTAGTGGCTGCGCAGTCGCGTCAGATTCGTCATAGAGCCGCACGTTCCACGTTTCGCGTTCCATGTTCCACGCCGTTCCAGGCCAAGCCTTGCTGGCGCTGCCCAGCCAACTTTTGCAGAGCGCTTTGCATTTTGAATGAAAGGCAAAGCCGACGCTGACGCTGACGCTGACGTCGACGGCAACGGCGACGACGACTGCGGCGTCGTCTATTGGCAATAAATAATTCTTTGTAGTCGCTTGTTTTTGCAGCCGCTGACTGCCTGCGCCTTATTTTTGCTGTTGTTGTTGTTGTTGGTTTTTTGTGTGTTATTTTGTTGCTTTACTTCAATTTAATTAGTTTATTTGAAAGCAGTTCGGGGCGATGGTGTCATAGATTAAATTGGACCCAATTCATTTTTAACATTTTTTCACATTTTATTTATTTTTTTTTTTTTGTGTTTTGGTTTTTTTTTTTTTATTTCTTATAAGTATTATAATTTGATTGTTCTGCAAAAGGCATTTGAAATGTTCGGAATTCGCATTGAATCGTTAACTTGGCTTGACTTGAGCCAGTAAATCAACCTCAATTGCAATTGCAGTGAAATTGCCTGACATGTTATTTGGCAAGTGCTCAATGGAGCGAACTTGTTTTTAAAGCGAGACGCATTCTAGAAACCTGGAATATTCGTTTATCGGTCTTACAAAATGATTGATTCTCTTTAGTTTATTTAATGCGGTATTTTTCTATTTAGATAATAAGTACTTTCTACTTTAAAATAAAAGACATTTTAAATCTGGAATGATAAGTTAGTTGACATTGTTCCCTATGTTTTTAATAGCTTGATTTCGGGTTAAAAACTTAAAATCAGCTATGCAATATAATTTGATATGATATGAGTTTTTATTTTAAGTTCAGAAAGTTGGCAACACTTCAAAAAATAACCTACATATGTATGTGGACAAATATGGAGGTACATTTAGTACATTTAGTGAATGTAGAAGCCCTATAGCTGAGGTCTTAGCTAATGTCTATTTTTCCTCTAGATTTTCGCTTGAATTTGATCAAATTTGACCAGAATTGCAACTTAAATTGGGATACAACTCAACTGACAATCTTTCACATTTAATATAATAAATATATAAACTTAATATACTTGCGCTAGTTAAAGCTACAAAAACAATAGAAGCGAAAAAAAATACCAAAACAGATCTTCAATTGAATACAATATCAACTGCACTCAGTGTGCTCAATGGAGCTTCATCGCCGCATCGCAGTCCAAAACAGTCCAAAACAGGGGGGGGGCGGAGAGGCGGCGAGGCGAAGAGGCTGCAGCAATCAAAAACAACCGCAACAACAACAAGTCGAGCGCATTTGGCCATTTATCAATTGAGCGAAGCTAATTAACATGAGCGCAGAAACAGCTACAGCAGACAATAACAGTACACCGATTGCCAGCTGAAATTTGGCGCGTGCGCAAAGCTTGCTACAACAACAACAACAACAACAGCAACAACAACAACAACAATGAATAAGCAAACGCCAGATGGCAAATATCTTACAGGATGCACTTGAGCGCAGCGGCATCAAAGATGCGCGGGTTGGAGTCGGGTTAAGTGCAATGAAACGGAGTGGAATGAAACCAAATGAAATGAAATGGAATGGAATGAAAACAAATGAAATGAAACGAAATGGAATGGAATGGAGGGGAGCGAGCAGACTTTGCAGAATGTTGGCTGAACGCGCATGCAACCGCAGCGAACCTGAACCAAGTTGTACCCTGTATAATATGGGTGCAAGTGGGTATATCGAGTTGGTTAATGGCAGCACTCGATTCACTTGGCATATACCAGGGCGAATCAAGCACGACCGAATGCATATCAAAAGTGTTTTAAGCCAAAATAATAAAATATTGAAATAGTTAAAGTTTCAGCTTTCTGACTATTAAAATAATTGAGCGGCATTCAGCTCACCTCTTAGTTATCGACAAAGTCTCTTCCAGGCGATAGATTTAAGAAACACTTTCACTCGAACATTACAGGGTAGCGTGCTTCGTTGTTTTCACACGCGCTGTTGCATAATTGAAAACTGAAGCCGAAACCGAAACCGAAAACGTGGCGCTGCAAATGCTAGCGAACGATTTTCCAGTTGGGGGTTACCTTTGCGATTACCGTTAGTGTGCCGAATATTCATGACTCTTTCTTTGTCCCCACAGATGACATCGTTAACCTTGCACTTGATAGTAATAACGCTGCTGGCGGCGGCAGCGATTACAGCAGCAGCAGAGGGAGCGGCCACACGTTCGCCTGTGCAGCGTGGCAGAGGAGCAGCCGGCGGCGCGTCAGCCGCAACGACGACCAGCACGCAGGCGCCAACATTGCGCGCGCCACGCCAGCGGCGTCCGCCCACAACGCTGCCCATCGACGATGGCAACGGTCGCCGCGGCAGCACCACCACGCCGCTGCCGGCGACCCAACGACAGCAGCGACGTCGTTTCACCGCAACAACAACAACAACAACAGCAACGGCAACAACAACAACGACAACTGTGGCGCCAGCCTCTGCCGGCAGCTATGTACGCACCAGCGGCAGCAGCCGTGGCAGCATCAGAGCCGCCCGCCAGCCACGCGACACGCCAACGCCAACGCTGGGCGAGCGCGAGTCCAGCGCTGGGAGCGATGGGAGCGCCCGCAACCAAAGGCTTCAGTCACATCACACGTTGTCATCGGCGTCCTCCAGCAATCCACTCGCCGTCTTCAACGCTTCGTCGCGCAGCGGCGCCCTCAAAACGTGAGTTTTTCTGATTTATTTCTTGTTGCAAATGCACCCGTGACACGATTGCGAGTCGCCTTTAAACTGGCAAGTGAAGCTCAAAAATTTGGGAAACCCATTTTCGTAACTCTTCTCCGATATTCATTCGCGAGAATTAAACGAATAACTCTCACTAATACAAATTTAATTCTTCGTTTTCCACCGAATTCGGTGGTTTCTCCAAAACGTGCGGAATTTCGAATAGTATATGTAAATTGAGTTTCATGCTAATCGGAGTAAATTTGCTAAAATTGCTGAAGGTTGGATTCGACACGTTGTTAGATCTTGATTGAACGAGACTTAAGCCTTTGCCTATTTAACTTTGTACACCCATTTGCCTAGTTTGAAAATCATTCAGTTGCCCTTACAATTTTTTACATCATTTTTCACCCAAATGCGTGGAATTTCCGAAAAGTGTGAAAAATGAAGAGACAAAGATCTTTGAAAATAAGCCTGAAGCCGATCGGATCGTTGGCAAGGATAGTTTAATATATATGCTATAGAATATAGAAAATGCGAATCTTTATGTCTAGTCTGATTTCGATTGAAAGCAAAGTTTTAATTACAAATTTATTAAAAAGCAAATATTTATGGAACTGAAAAATGAAAGTAGAATAGTTTAATTTATTTTCAACTCGTGTCTGTCACGCGTTTATTTCCAGTTTGAAGTTGGTTTTTTTGTCCCGTGTTTTATTTTTTATTTTTATTTTTCTTTTTTATGGCGGCAGTTTTTGGCGTCTGCCCATTTTGGGCGCCGCCATTGATTAATGCAGCATGCCGCAGTTGCAGTTGCAGTTGCAGTTGCAGCTTCCCCCTCTTCTCTGGCTTCTAATTTTGTGTCTTGTTATCGTTCGCAGGCCGCGCATGATCCAGCGCCTGGTGGCTGGCCACATTCACAACGCGCAGGGCCACTCCACCTATGAGGTGTCTGCGGTGAGCGCCAACAGCAGCAGGAGCATTGGAATAGCGACAACAACCCCAAGCACAACGACAACAACAACAACTGCAAAAAGCCCAAGCACAAGAACAACACGTCGCAAGGCGAGCAGCACCTATCGCCTGGCCAGACCGTCGCCATCGCCATCGCCGGTGCCAGCGCCAGAGCGGGACCAGGACGATGACGAGGCGTTGCTTAATGAACCGGATGACTTTGATAACTGGGACAATGGCATACTGCGGTTGAGTGCCGGCTCGGGCAAGGAGGAGGCGGCGGCGGAGGCAGCCAGCGCCAAAGGCCAGAGCAAGCAGAGCAAAGAGGATGCCAAGAAGACGCTCGCGGATCAGGTGCGCGATGGCAAGTACGGTCTGATCGAGAAGGAGCTCTTTCGCCGCGTGCCCAAGCGTCCGGGCGTGCTGAGCTATGCCCGCAACTCGGAGGTGCCACTGGACAATGAGCGCAACTTTGGTGGGCTCAGCGAGCAGGACATTTGGCTGGCCGAGGATCATTTGCTGGTCATCAAAGGCGGCGGTCTGAATGAGGCCGAGGGCGATGGCGACGGCGCTGATGCGTGGCCAGCCATTGACGATTACGATGCGCCGCCACGACAGATCAAGCTGCCAGCGCATCCCGTGGTGCCGCCTCCATTTCCCGTGCAGCTCGAGCCGCATGGGCCACTGCAGCTTATCCGAGATAATCAAATCGAGGGCTTCCATACGACAGCTGGCAATGCAACGCTATCCGCTGTGGGTCAGCACGCGTCCCACGGCCAAGTCCACGGAGCTGCCCACGGCCCGGGGTCGCATCCTGCTGCCCGGACGGGAGCGATTGCGTCGGCTAAGGCAGCTGACCCGGAGCCCAGCTACGTCTACCCGACGCCCTATGCGCCCTGGCTGCTCTCAAACAACGAGACGCCGGCCCATACGCCTGCCAGTCCGGCGCCCAATGCTGTGCTAAGGACTCCGCTGCTTGGCCCCTGGATAATCAATGGCCTGCACGGTAACGGCAATGCCTCCGGACCGGGCGCCCTGCACGGCAACATCAGCGACTTTGACGAAGACGATCCCTCGCTGTACTATCCGCCCGCGTACAACTTTGTGTATAGAAGCAACTATTCCAATCCGGTGCCGCCGGGTCCATTGGTTCCGGGCATTGTGCTGCCACCGCCGCCGGATCACTTTAGTCTGCTGGAGACGACAACGTCGACGACAACGCGACGTCCCTTCACCACTCCGACCAGCAGCACCACCACCACCACCACCAGCACCAGCAGCAGCACAACCACAACCACCACAAGCACAACCAGCACACGAGCTCCAGCATCGCGGCTGTCGATCAAGTACAATTCCATTGGTTACCTGCCGCCCGCGCCGCGTCAGCCCAACAAGTATGTGGAGCGCGTGCCAGTGCCAGTGGCTGTGCCCATACCCATATATCCTGTCAACTATCAGCCGACGACGCCGCGGCCACAGCCTGCCGCACAGCTGGTCTTTGTGCCCAGTTTGAGCAGCACGGAACGCAGCTTGAGCGCTGGAGAGAGGGATAGGGAGAGGGAGAGGGGCAGGGAAAGGGAGAGGGAAAGGGGTCGTGACCGGGATCGTGAGCAGGCACCGCTCTCGAAATCAAATCCGATTTACTATGAATACTTTGAGGCCAAACGGCAGCCATCCTCCCTCAAGTCCAATGTTATCAATGACTTCCTGGGCACCAAGCCGCCCAAGCGGCCGCATTACAAATCCCCGCCGAGTCCCGTCAACGATGTCGCCGTGGTGAGCATCACGCCCAAGCCACGTGTCCAGCTGCACTCGGAGTACGACGCGGCTCTGGGTCAACTGATCAGAAGCAATCTGATCGCGCCGCCGGCAACTGGCCGCTTCCAGCCGCCCGACTTTGACAGGCAACCCTTTCTGCCCATGGTCAACTACAGCGCCGACGAGCACGACCAGAATGCCTTCAAGGCAATAGTCTATCAGCCTCAGACCCAGCAGCAGCCCCAGCAGCAGCTACAGCTGCAGCGCCAGCGCCAATTGCGCGTGGGCAAGCATCAGCAGCTGCAGCTACAGCTGGAGCCAACCCTGCAGCCGGCGCAGGACCAGGACTCATATCTGCCGGACTCGCTGCTGTTGCAGCGTCAGCGCCAACTGCGAGTGGGCAAACAGCAGCTGCAGCTGCAGCTGCAATCGCCTTCGCCAGCGCCTGGGCCTGGGCCTGGGCCTGGGCCTGGGCCGTACGATAGCCAGCAGGGTGTTTATAGCACGCCCCTGCCGCCCACCTATCTGGAGAATCAGCTGCAGCCACGTCCGGCCAAATATCAGCTGCGTCCGCCGGCACCCGCGCCGCTGCAGTTCTGGCAGCGTCCCGCAGCGCCACCGCCGCCAGTGCCACCGCCGGCGCCACAGTTCAAGCGATTGCGGCACGGCAGCGCCAAGCATTCGTATCCGCCGTACTTTGTGCCCAGCTACCCGAGCGGGCCCGCACCGGAGCCCCTGTACCGCCTGCTGCCCGTGCAGCAGCACAAGCACTGGCGACAGAGCAACAAACAGCAGCAGCAGCAGCAGCAACAAATTCAAGTGCAACCGCAGCCACAGCAACAATATTATCCCGATCGTGGCGTCAACATTGGCCACAGCCTGGCCAGCGACATTTTGGTGAACTACAACAGCAACAATCAGTTCAATCCGCAGGCGGAGCTAGTGCCCCAGGCACAATTGGGGCCACCGCCGCTGTCCTACCAGGCGCAGAACGGCGGCCAGGCATCGCTCTGGTCGGACAGGCCGGTGCGACAGTCGCGCGCACAGCTGCAGGAGCAGGCCTAAAGGAACAAGGCGAGGAGCACGAAACAAAACAGGAGATATAGGAGCCAACGACAATCGTCGATGTCAGTGTCAAAATGTGATCTTCAAGAACAGCCGTTAGCCGAGCAAATCCCGCAATCGAATCCAGGCAAATCCACAGACCACGGAGCTGCTTAGATGAAATAGTCAATGTCAATACACAAACCATAGACGATGCTGAAAGTGTACAGAAATGGGATGTTTCAATGCTACGAATAACCTTTGGCAAGTGCAATTCACGCTGAATTACTGTAATTTCATTCAAATCATTCGGTGCGTCTGCAGCCCTGGCAACGAGCCACCCTCTACTCAACTATAATTATTATGAATACAGCTCTGGTCACATCTGTCGTTTGTTTGTCTTTTGCAGCCCAATCGAATACAAGAACAAGAATAACACACCATTATTTTGATGTGGCCAAATTGCCTGCACAAGCTATGTATGCTACATATATATATACATATTTATACATACATATATAAAGCATAACTACATGCATACATACATATACATATATCGGAATACGAATGTATTCATATTGATAGGCTTGTGTAAATACGTTAAGGATACGACATGTACGATTTGTGTACGCCAAATAAACGAGTAACGCGTTATTTGGGCGCCTACACAGAACTTAGTCTTAAAGGTGGGCAACAGAACCGTTAGGGACCCGTGTTGTCTTACTTAGCATCTAAATTGTGCAGCAATATGCATACAAAATCATGAATACTGTTTTAAACTATCCTGTTTATAAGCTTATCAAATAACCATAATTAAATACGTTTTTTTTTTATTTATATAATAAAATAAGCTCATTTCCGAATGATTTTCAAAACTATATATGATTGTCAGCAAAATTCAAACGCAAATTTGTATAAAAGCCATAACAATAAGTTCACTATAAATTCATTTGAAGCACATGAGCAAATGGCAGAGCTTCAGGTGAAACCCAATCAATAAAACGTACGTATAGAAAACAATAATAGGCAGCATATACATATATATATATAAATACATATATTATACATTTTGTATGTACATTTTTTTTTTTTTTGTTAGCTATAACAAAATTGTTTACAAATAAGCGTAGCCGAAAAACGTATTCATCTAAATAAAGCAATTACAAATTCATATTTGCCGGTGTGACCATGCCAACGCATTGCTTTTAGCAACCAGCCCTTGCGCACTGACAACAGCTGTTGCTGAGCAATAGGAACAGAGAGAGAGAGAGCGTGAGCGACAAAAAGAGAGTGAGAGAGAAGGAGAGCCCACTCGCGTCATTGTGTGTGGGCGTGCTTATGTGGGTGTATGTTGGTGCGTGCCTGTGTTATATGCGCGCGTGTGTGTGTGTATGTGTGTGTGTGTGTGTGTGTGTGTATTTGTGAGGTAGGTGGTAGGAGGTTGGGCAAACAAAAATCGATTGCAACAGCAAATCGACTACAGGAAGCGCCTCATAATAAGGCACGAAGCCGCGACGAGAACGTGAACGACGCACACCGACGTAGGCAGAGGCACTTGAATTGACTTTGGCCTACCCTGCCCACCGAGCGCCCCCCCTTCTGGCAGCAGTAAAATGATTACAGGCTAACGCCAAAAAGAGGAAGCAGCTAAAGCCAAGGCAGAAGAAGAAGCACCAGCAGCAACAGCAGAGTCAGTTTTAGTAGCAATAGCAGCACCAGCAACAGCAGCAGCAACAGCAGCAGCAGCAGCAGCCAGAGACTCGAGCAAAAGGAGCAAAACTGAAATTTATAACAATTTTCGGTGTATGCAATACTAAATAATTCATTTGAAAAGTTATTGAACGTAAAAATTGCGCACTTGCTTTGCTCAGGAGTGTCGAAGTGCGTTTGTGTTAGTGCGTATACGTGTACGTGGCCTGCGTGCGGGTGCGTGCCTGCGTCTGTGTGTGCGTGAGTGTGTGTGTGTGTGTGCGTGCGTGTGTATGTATGTGCGCGTGTTGAGCGCTTCAGCTGCGCTTTTTTTATGCAAGCGAAAATTGTGATAGCAAGCGGCAGCGAAAAGCGCAAACGTTCCAAAAGGGCAAAACTGGCTGAAGTGGCGCCCCCGCCGAGCAGGAGACAAGTGTGGCGAGCGATGCAAAAATATGGAGCTGGATAAATGACGAAACGCAATTGAAATCTATTTCGAGTGGAGCTGCACCATTTTGCCTGGCGCTGTCGGTATACAGCATACACACATACAAACACGCACACACACACACACACACACACGCACACAAACACACACGCAGACACGCAGACAACGCTTAGACGGACGCGAGAAGAGGCACAGAGTAGGGTCGATAACGCACGCAAAAGGATACACATAAGCATAACGGCATAACGGGCAGCAGAGCCAAAATAGCACCTGAGACTGCCGGGCGGAGCCCGTCTATAAATAGCTTGAAGAAGCGCCGAAACCAGCAGCGGCAGGTGTACAATGGTAACAATGAACTCGGAGGCGGACAAAACACAGAGTAGCACGCAAGCAACCAATGCGCTGGCCATGAGCAGCGCGCCCAAGACGCCAACAGCGACAGAGACAGAGACAGCGACGCCAACGCCTTCGCCAGAAGCAGCATCCGAAGCGGCAGCAGGGCTAACGGATAACAGTCCAGCGTCAATATCTACGGTAACGGCAACGCCAGCGTCAGCGGCAAATGGCAGCAACAATGGTCCTGCAACAGCAGCTGCAACATCAGCGGCAACATCAACGGCAGCTGCAACGGCAACGACAACAGTAATTGCAACTACATCCGCTGCCGCTGCCGCTGCCGCAGCCTTATCCGCATCCGCATCCGAATCTGCATGTGCACCTTTAGCTACCACTGAGGCAGAACCTGAACAGCCGGACAGTGGCAATGCGAACAGCAGCAGCGAGCCGACCAGCACCACGATAACAGTCAGCGTCGCTGCCACAGTTAGCAGCGGCGGCGGCGGCGGCAGCGGCAGCAGCTGCAGTAGCAGCCACAACTGCATAACTACTGTGGCCGCTGCAACGCCGCCGCTGTCCAGCAAGACGGTGAGCATCCGGGATGCAACAGCGCCGAGTTGCAGCGGCACATCCGCGCCCAAGTCAAGTGGCCTGCTCAGCGTGGGCAGCAATCATCATCATCATCATCATCATTCCTCGCCGTCATCGTCGCAGTCGCAGTCGCAGTCGCCGTCGCCGTCGCAGTCGCCATCCCAATCGCAGTCACAGTCGGCACAGCCGCAGCCACCGCCAGCGCCGTCCGTGCCGCAGCAGCCGCATCAGCATCAGCGGGGCAACAAGAACGAAGATGCGCCCAATATACTGGTCTATAAAAAGGTGCGTATTCTACTAATCGGTCTACGTATATAGATCTAGCTCGTAAACATCAGCCCTTACGAAATATGAGCGTTCCAGTTCTGCGAATATGCCAGATATTTGGAAAACTACATAAACATTTGCATGGATTCTTAAAATAGAAATCGTATTATTCCAAGAATTGTTCTAAATTTGATTAAACAATTCAAAGGAGACGTGCCCGACCCCATGAAGTATATCCAATCTTAATCAGTCTCCATCTGTTTGCTGATATCCAAACTAGGCTCTGTTTTAATGTGTTCGCCATGAAACCTAGCATCCGCCTTGTTGGATCACCATACTATATAGCTGCTATAGGAAAAATCGATCGAAAATTCAATTATTGTAGGCAAAACAAACATTTTGAAATATCATTATCGATCTTATCTCATCTACGATATATATATAAATAGTATATATACATATATATATATATATATACGATATAGCTGCCTAGCTTCTCCAAAATTAGCTCCTAACAGCATCAATATTCGTGTATCTACAAAACCGTATCAAATCGGACTAGTCAGATATCAGATAGCTCCTATGGGATATAACGCTATCCTTTGAAATCATATGACAGCATATTGAACTAAAGCTTTCAAAAACAGGGGTTCTATGCCGAGTTTTATAAAATAAGATTTAAAGTTAGTTTTCACAAAATAGTTCACACGTTTTATCAATTAAGTTCAGCCTCCTGATCAAAAATATGTACATATATGTATATTCGTTACCAGGTTTCTGAGAAAACTGTAATGCCCAATACGAAATCAAAATGTTCACAATGACATAATGTTAACAGAATAACATTATGTTACTATTGGCTAACACCTCCACATTTGTAAATGTTATTAACAGTATTATGGCTGTTATGTTAAATTTACGCACGCAACAGTTATGTTAAATTTAAATTTAACATGTGGAAACCATGTTATGTTCGACGACATTTCTGAATTTCCTTCCTTGATCTTGTATAACATAAGTATCTAATGGGGCACATATATTTGGAAAATTCCAGATGGAGGCCATCATTGAGAAGATGCAGGCGGAGACGGGCGGTGTGGCTGTGCGCACGGTTAAGGCGTTTATGAGCAAGGTGCCATCGGTATTTACCGGAGCCGATCTGGTTGCCTGGATACTGAAGAACTTCGACGTGGAGGACGTGACGGAGGCGCTGCACTTTGCCCATTTGCTAAGCTCACACGGCTACATTTTTCCCATTGATGATCATGCGCTGACCGTGAAGAACGATGGCACTTTCTACAGGTGAGTAGGCACTGCATACTCTTAGGCGCTAGACAAATAACATTCAATGTCGATCTTTGGTTGTGGCTTAAGATTCCAGACGCCATATTTCTGGCCATCGAACTGCTGGGAGCCGGAGAACACCGACTATGCGGTGTATCTGTGCAAGCGCACCATGCAAAACAAGACGCGCTTGGAGTTGGCGGACTACGAAGCCGAGAACCTGGCCAAGCTGCAGAAGATGTTCTCACGCAAATGGGAGTTCATATTCATGCAGGTGAGTTAAATGGCTAATTCAATGTTGAGCTCATTCCCATATTCTATTTGCAACTGCCAGGCCGAGTCGCAGAGCAAGGTGGCTAAGAAGCGTGACAAGCTGGAGCGCAAGGTACTGGATTCGCAAGAGCGCGCCTTTTGGGATGTGCATCGGCCCATGCCGGGCTGTGTCAATACCACCGAGATAGATATCAAGAAGGCGTATCGACGCGGCGGCTCCAGTCATGGAACCGGGTCCGCTGGCGCTTCTGTGGCTAAAAATCCCGTCGAGCAGCTAACGCGCATCATTACGCTGCGCAAACAGAAGCTCGAGCGGCGCACAATCAAAGTGTCCAAGGCGGCCGAAGCGTGAGTATAGCCAGTAGTTCGACCAACGTTGTCTGGCACTTCATTAGCTTTGTTCCTTACTGCAGTTTGGTTGCCTACTACGATCAGTATAATGAGTTTGATTACTTTTTAACCTCGCCGGAGCTACCCAATCCCTGGCAAACGGACAGCACCGAGATGTGGGATACCGAAAAGAATAGGTAAGCATCAGCAACAGGGCCCCCAAGATATGGCCAGACGAATTAACATTGAGCCCTGTCTCTCTGCCTCTCCAAGCAGCAAAGATGTTCCTGTGCGTCGGGTCAAGAGATGGGCATTTAGCCTGCGCGAGCTGCTTAACGATGCCATTGGACGCGATCAGTTTACCAAGTTTTTGGAAAAGGAGTACAGTGGCGAGAATCTCAAGTGAGCTACACAATTCACAACACTCACGAAGCATCGGAGTTATTGATGTTGTTTCTTTTGTAATTGTAATGTTGATCAGGTTCTGGGAATCGGTGCAGGAGATGAAGGCGTTGCCACAGTCCGAAATCAAGGAGGCCATACACAAGATTTGGCAAGAGTTCCTCGCACCCGATGCGCCCTGTCCGGTCAACGTGGACTCCAAATCCGTGGAGTTGGCCCGCGAAGCCGTCAATTCGCCCAATGGTCCGAATCGCTGGTGCTTCGATGTGGCCGCCTCGCATGTGTATCATCTGATGAAGAGCGATTCGTACTCGCGCTATCTGCGCTCCGACATGTACAAGGATTACGTCAACTGCTCCCGCAAGAAGATTAAGTCAATACCCAATCTCTTTGGCGTAAAACGTTGAGATATGCGCGCATTGCCTGTCGCGGCGTTCGGCTTTAGCGCGGGCTGAGCCGATTTTTGTGTGTTAATCCTTTGATGGCGTTCGGTGCCAGGACGGACGACAGTCGGATGGAAGTTATGTGTGTGTGTTATACTGTAGTGCTCGTGCTTGGACGCATACTTCGATGTATATTAAACGTTGTTACTTATTATTAAACAATAGCCTGCCTATTGCCACTAGGTCGCGTGTGTTCTTAACGTCGTTTTGTTAACCGTTAAATTAAAGTGTCGCCCGTGCAACGATGCGTACTCCTAACACCCAGAGCCCAGGAACCACAACCCAGGACCATTCCTCTAGCCCCCTTCCTTCGATGCTTACCTTTATCGAATCCAATTCGAAACTCTCGTCCTTTCACTTAAATCTTAGCGAAACGAAAACACCACTGAATAAACTGCCACGTGCTTCTCAAAATAGAAAGCAGCAGCGAAAGTTAGAGTAAAAATAAAATAACCGTCGCGAATGATGAATCGATCAAATAAACAAGTAAACAAATAAACAGCCATACTACGCAATTGTCAAAATGTAACCGATAACACCAAATCGAAACAAACAACAACATATATAAAAATAATCACTAAGGTAATTAGCATAAAACAATAAAACTAAAACTAAAACTAAAACTAAATGAAAAACAAAAACAAAAGCAACTACCACTGAGAACCGAGTACATACCGAGTACTTGTACTTATATTTAAACTTATACTTATACCTATACTTATACTTAAACTTATACTTGTATTAGCATGTTACAAAGCTATCAGCGTTCAGCATTTGAGAAGTCAATCTAACTGTACAATCGAATCAATCAATTCAAGTCATAGAACAAACACGCTACGCGTTTTTTTTTTATACTCGCTAGTTAATTACTAAGTACTCGCTCTCTCTTAAGTCCCATTGACAGACATTGACAGCTCTTCTCGCAATGCGCTCCTTTATGTTCCCCAGCTCCCTCATACTACACACACACGCACACTCCACATATCGCCAAACGCAACAAAAACTAAAAACTTAAAGAAATTCTAAAATGTTATGTAAACCATATGAAAAGAAAAAATGGCATTTTCATATTTTCGAGCGCCTCTGCGTGCATCGTGTATTCTGTGCTTGTGTATGCATGTGTGTGTGTGTGTCTGTGAGATCAATTTTGAGCGCAGAGAGCGGCAGTTAGAGCAAGAGGCAAAGAGAAAAACTGCAACAGAGCTAGAGCCAAGTGCGGGAGAGAGAGTGAGAGAGAGAGAGAGATAGATGCAATATTAAATGAGATAAGGACACTTACTAAAGAGAGCTTTACATACGCTACACAGACAAATAGGGGACAAAAAGAAGGAGAGAAAGAAAGAGAGGGCACGTATCAATGGGCATAGTTACCAGAGGCGCACACACATGCACACCTTGCCGCGACTTATCGTAGCTGAGCTATATGCTTGATGGCAGGGCAATCAATCAAGCTAACTCCATCTCAATCGCTTATTTCGACAGCTTCGAAATCGATGTAAGCTGCGCCACGCCCACGCCTGAGCTAGAGAAATGCGTCAACGTCTAATCAGAAACACACAAACACATGCATACATAACAGCATACACGCATATGTAATACCTAGAATATTATATATATATATATACATTACATATGTACGTATATGTAAGAACATAGCGCACCGAGCAAGTCGGAGTAGAAATCAGATTTAGAGCTAATTGTAGCGAATCAAGTATATACATACATACAAAACACAAATGTCGCACACGCACACAATCGCCTCACACGCACACACACACACACACACACACACACACACACACACACACACACTCGAAAAGTAGAGCAGAGGCGAGAAAATACACAAAATGTTGCATACTTGTAGGCGGCGATTATAAATTATAAATCGGTAGAAAGAAAACCCAAAATTCGTTGTGTATGTAATTGTATTGTATTTATTGTATGTTTGTAATTGTAAACGGTGTCTAATTTTAAACAAATACAAAAGCAGCAAACCAAATAATTATTAATTATATCATATTGTATTCAAGTACAATCTCAATGTGCATCTGTGTGTCGGTAGTCAAATTTAAATCAATTTCAAAAAGTTACACAAAACAAAACAAAACAAAAAACCAAAAAAAAAAAAAAAAAAGAAGTGAAAAAGCGTACATTAGAAGTAAAAATTTCAAGAGCATAGCCGCCTAGTAAAAGTCAAGTAAAACTAGATACAAACAATATAAAAGTTGAATATTGTTGGATTTGGCTTTTAATTACATTATCTATGTTATTTATGTTGTTATTTGTGCTGATTTGCATTCTCAAATGAAAAATGTTGCTACACTATTTACATTCTCTTTTATTGTTTCCTTTATTGCCCACCGTTCAGTAAAATACAAATAAGCCAAAAACAAGCGCGAGAATGTTAGAAACTAAAAAAAAAAAAACTAAAAACTAAAAGCAGAAAGCTAAAAACAAAACTACTAAAGCAATTTCAAGTTTTGTATTAATTCGCTGTTAATTGTATATTTATTGATTTACTTACATTTACTTAACCCTATGTAAGCCCAAAGTAGTCATAAATGTCGGGTGGAGCGTAAATGCCAAAGCGTATGCACAAATAACTAACAGCAGCCACAACAAACAATTAAAAAAGAAATGAATATACCCTGTAGAAGGGTATAGAAATCAGTCGTGCTAAGCATAGCATAGCAAATGTATTGCACTTATCTATGTATTTGAGCAGAAGAATCGCAGGATAGCAGCTTCTAGTTTCTAGAATCTATTGCCCTTCGATTTGGGATCTACTCGTATATCGCGACTTTTTAGGCTAGCAAAATAACGGGAAGCAGCCGCGTTTATTGTAAATTGTTTAACAAAACACTAAATAAATAAAGGCACAATTTAAACAAATTGAATTGTGACGCCAACTACTAACAAATTTCATGTTTACATATGCGGATGTTTACTCTCTTTCAGCGATGCCTCCTCTCTCTCTCTCTCTCGCCCTCTCTTTCTTTCTTGGCAGGAGAGAGCAACGACTATCGATAAACACTGATGAGTGCCTGTTAAAACTTAGCCGGAGGCTAACAACAGCGACCTTGCAATCTACTTGAAGATAAATTCAGTTTTGAAGAATAAATATTCGGTATACGGAAATATTAAATAGTTTAATTAAGTTAATAGTTATATCGACTAGTATTAGCTTGCGCAGCATCAACCAGCCTGTCATGAGCTTTACGCCTAAGAAGTTAATTGAAAGTTGTTTGATTCTGCTAAACGTGGCGAGGTCCTTTCTCATCTGCTCAAAATGATGGAGACTGCAGTTTTTGCTCAGGGCACCGCATTGGCAGCCAGCATCTGAGTTGATTTCGTGCTCGGAGCATCGTTGGACTCATATCTGTTGTTGTCTGGTTGTGTTGTTTACCTAGCAATAGATAAGCCTAATACCGATTGATAACGAGGCGGCAGTGATGACAATGCTGCTTCTAAGCACTTCCCGTCGCAGAGCTGGCCCATAAAGTTCAAAGTCTTATCAATGCCTATAAATTTTGGCCAAGTTATCTGCCCAGTTATCTAATTGATGCAGGGCTCGTAAGCCAGCTGCCAGCTACTTAACCAGATGAAGACGGCCCCACAGAGCCGGAGACTGCCGCTGGCTCTGATAAGGCGTTAAGGCAGACGTGACACCAACTGCGAATGGGCAACCGCAGCGAGATGAGCCACAATTGTGGCTGCTTGTCAATAGAAGCAGACGCTTTTGGTCAATAGCACTTTGGGCACTGAGTACCAAGCCCAGATCGAGCTCTCAGAACAAGCTGCCAGAGTGCCTGCGATCACGTTTTTGCTATAAAAAAAAAAAGCAAACCTTCAAAATTCAGTTTGCAGACGAGCTCAAGACCATTGTTGGGGGTGTTCGGGCCTATGAAATTCCCTAGAAATCGTTGATCTTTAGCGAGTCATTGCACTGCATGTTGAAAGCAACGGTAAAATTACGCACACTTCAAATCCGGGAACGAAGTCCCAACATGTACTCAGATGTGCGCATAGAAATCCATTTCAGCCTGAAGTATCTTTTGTATTGTATGTGGCCACAGCAAGGCTGTCAACCATTTGAACCTTCGTTTTCTTTAAAAGTGGTTCAACCAAAGCGTAGTCTAGCCCTTTTGCTCTGTGTCCGGTGAACTTACGTTCAAGCAGTGGGTTTTATCGGAGCACAAACCAAAATTAGTAACCGGTTCAAATGGAATGCAACTCTGAGTGTGAGATAATATATGTGAGGCATGTAAATTGTTTATCCTTCAGATAGTAGTAACATCTTAATTGTTCATAAGAATATTTACATTGCCAGAATGAAAAACAAATCCGCAATAATTAAAAAACAACAATACAAATTGCCAGCAACAATCAAGGAATTTGAATGCACGATAACGAGCCGATAAGTGTTTTTATGATATTAAGTATAAAATATATCTGCTAGGGTATACAAGGTTCGATACCCCGAGTGTACCTTTACATGTGTACAAATATACTTTTTTCTTCTTTTTTTCGAACTTTTCGATGCTTTGCTCTCAAATCACATGACTAAAAGCTGCATGACGCAATCTGAATTGTGATTAGAATATATATAAATATATATATATATATATATATATATATATATATATGTGTGTAGTACATCTGTCTATCTCTTAGACATATATGTATATAGCATATGGGAACAATATTTGCATTGGGTCTCAATAGGTTAATAGTGAAACTGATTTCGTGAAGGGTTGAAAGTGCAGTTTTAGGGGGTAAGGGGGTAAGCTTTTTCCTTAAAAGGAAACCCGTATTGTTTTCCACAATCTTAAGCTCTTCTCCGGACCCGCTGGGCGTTTAATGATTAGCCCGAATCAAAAGTTTTGCGTACACCCAGCTATGATTTGTAAGTATTTATTTACTTGGAGCTTAGCACAGTTCTGTTGAACTATTAAAAGTGTTGCCGGAGTGCGCATGGCGCGCGGTATCTTTACAATCTGACAGAGTATTAACGTGTCCAAAACAGGGATTATACCGGGCTTACGGCCGTTTGCATCAACACTGAGCGAAAAGCGGTTGAACAAGCTGTTGGTTAAGAGTTTCTTTATGGGACATGCGCAAACAGGTTGCGAATTTTTTTACATGTGCATATGCATGTGGGAAAAATGCATTTGAATTGATATCGTCTACACAGCGAGACATATCTGTTGCTTTCGGCATTTCCCAGCACTGTTTATTTAATGACGCTAACTACTGAGATTCGGCGAAATGTGCGCAATTTTACACTGATTTATTTTCGCAGCACCCGGTTTCAGGTTGACGAGTGTGCCGATCGTAAATGTGTTCGCGTATCATCATCCTTATCAACATCATCACCTCATTGTGTCACTTGGCAATCAGATAAGGCGCTTATCAGTGTCTCGGCGAGAAATATGCACATACATACATATGTATATATGTGTGCTTTTGTCCTGCCAGCAGCAGCAGCAACAACAGCAGAGAGAGGCCAACATACTGAAAGAGAGTGAGAACGTAAGAGAGTGGCTGAGAGCACTCGCTCAGCCGCTCATCAGCTGATTACGCAGACGACGTACTGTGGGGCCAGAATCGCGTTACACTAAAACAAAATCTATGGTAAATAATGTGATGCAGCATTTGTTGTTTCATTTCAAAATTTCTTCTGTTGGAAAGCAACTTACTTAATAGATACATTTTTTTTTTCAAACTGAACATAGGACATAGACATGGCTGCAGCTGGAAACTATTGCTTACATCTTAAAAATTGTATTCATATTAAGATCGTATATTGTGCATGCATATTTATTATACAACTTTGAAATGCAATTTCACATTGTTTCGGCTGTGATTATTTTGCAGCATTAAATAACTATACATGCCCACTGTGCAACATCTTTGATGATCGTCGACGTCAGCGCCAACGACGATGCCGGCAGCAGCAGCAACAGCAGCAGCAGCAGCGGCAGCGGCAGCCTCAACGACAACGCTCGACTCGTCCGAACAGTTGCTGCTCAACGCTGCTCGCAAACGGTTCAGTTCAGCAAATCTTTGAAAGCTGCCACGCCCCGCCGAGAAGCACTCGATCGAACTACAGAGTTCGCCTTCGTATCGGTATCATTGTACGTAGCGCATCCCAGAGACCGGTCCGTCACGTATACGTCGTGCCGTTCCCGTTCCCGTTGTCGTTGTGATTGTCGCTGTTGTTGGCATGGTCTAAAGTTCAAAGCCCACTGTTGATCCTTAACAAACTGGTAAAAGTTGCTGGCACTCAACTTGAGCTGGCCCAAGAGGCAGCAAGAGCAGCCTTGAAGGAAAGGAGGAGGAGACAGAAGAAGAACGGCGAGCGAACAAACCCAAACAACATTGGCAACAACAGAGCCAGAGAAGAAGAAGAGCAACAACAACAACAACAACAACTTTAGTGCATTTGAATATCATTGCGGCCATAGCCCGAGGGGCAATCAATTGGAGGCAGAGTTGTAATGGTGCACTGGCGTGTGGCTTTTGAGAGCGGCTGCGAGGATCACAATCTCTGGCTCAGCCAGGAGCGATACGAGTACACGCAGAGCCAGCACAGATAGAATTTAACGGTAAACGCCGCCATACATTATATCCGCATACGCATACGTATACGCATTCGCATCCGTGGGATTACCAAAAGGTGCATTCAACTTGCCACAAAGCGCATTCGCAGGCGCTGAACATATGCCAACGATCTCGATCTCAGCTACAGCAACAACAGAATAACAACAATTTAAATAAAACCACAAAAGAATCAAAACATTTCGCACATAAAAAAACGAAAACAAAAAACAACAAAAAACGCGCGTGCAAAATTTTGCGTTGAAAAACTGTTTAAAGTTTTCGATTGGTTCTTGTTATTATTTTTCTTAAGTGTTGTGTTTTTTTTTTGTTGTTTTGTTTAATGGTGTTCTCCTAACTGTAAATGTGAAAACAGAAACGAAAACCAAAACGAAGCAGCGCACGAGAGAAAGCCAAACCAAAAAAAACACGAAAAGTAAGCGTCAAAAGGAGCAAAAGGAGAACTAGAACTTGAGATAGACAGAGAGGGAGCGCGCCAGACGGACGGACGGAGACCACAACAATTTCATGTGAGTAACAATTGAAGAACAAGAAGAACACAAATAACAAAAAACGCAAAAAAACAAACAAAATATTCAGCAAACATAAACATGTTTCAGTTTCTCGCTCTTCGCTGCCGTTTGCGCTATTGCGTCTATGCGCTATAAATAAAGTGCCGCAAGCATGGCATAGGGCGCAGGGGGTCAGGGGTAAGGGGCAGCACAGCAATTTAGCAGTGATTGGCACTGCGACTCTTCAGACGATAAGCAACAACAACATAACAGAGCAAACAGCTGCTAACCCATTTATCGATTGTTGTGGGAGGGGGAGAGAAGGGATCTACTGTGCACGTTACTTGCAGGGGAAGGACAGTTATTTTCAAGCAGACATCATATATCGATTACAGCTGTTATCGAGCTATCGGTTAGGGAGGAACATTCAAATGAATTGAGCGCATATTGAATAAGAGCAAATCAATTTTAAAACAACAATTTATTGATAGCAAAAATACGTAAAACCAAACACAGCAAAAGTAAAACAAAAAAAAAAAAATTAAGAAAACAAAATGAAATCAAACAAAACAAAAATCGCTGGCAGCGACATTAACATTTTTGCCTTTGCTTTCTATATATAGAACTTTTTGGCTTTCGTATATTCTTACGTAGTCCAGCTGAGCGACAACAAGAACAACATCAAGAAAATAATAATCAAAAAATGTGTGTTCAGCCCAGAATGAAAAAAAATAAATAAAACAGTAAATATGTATGTATGTATGTATGTAGAGGAGCAAGAAAAGAAAAAGAAAAACGACAAGTTCCAATTATTGTCAAATGACTACGTGACCAAACAGGAACCGTGAGTAACAAATACCGAACCACTCAGCATCCATAGCAGCGTCTAGAATTTTTACAGCAAATTGGCTAGTTCCCCCAGCCCCTGCCGATGCCGTCTTCACCCCCGGGCTGCCCTTGAAACGATGCGTAATTTAGTCAATCAAAATGCGACAACGCCAACGAATTTCATGTGCCATTCCGAGACCCACAATTAAGCGGCACTGCGATCAATTAATGCATTAATGCTGTTTCCCGCCCCAAACCCTCCATACACATATGTATGTGTGTATGCATGTATGTATGTGTACAGTCTGGAATGGGTCAGATCTGACACGCTATAAACATGGTTTACAGCTACAAACTGGGCCATATTTCAAGCTGGGCTCTGTTCTGTTGCTGTGGAATGTTCGCTTCGCTAGTTTTTCTAGCCTCGCAATTAGTCGCAATTGTCATATAGATATCAGCAACAATATTTTTTTTTTTTTATCAGTTTGTCGACAATTTATGTTGCCGCAGTCAAACGCTGAATAGTCACAACTAGATAAAAAAAAGAATAGAAAAGAGAAAAAATCAATTAGCATCAAAATCAAGAGTCAGGCTGAAAAATATCCCCATTCTCTGTCCTGTCCTGACAGACTCTGTGATTGGCGCTTCAAATATATGTAACATACATATGTGAAATGTAGGCTCCAAGGAAGAAGGTTTAATTAACGAATTCATTCCACGAGCCGAAAACGGGTAAAAAATGTTTGAGGCCGATCGCATGGTAAACAATAAAGTGTCATCTAATAGTTTTTCCCGCTTTTTCCACACTTGCGGGTGGAATTCTCCGAAACCCTGTCTTAACGTGCACCTTCTTACGTTGATCACCAATCAGTCAGTCAGTCAGTCTATATACCGTATTTATATGTTATGTCATTTTGGAACGTCATATCTCCGCGCGGAGTTATGCCGTTTTGGAACATCATATCTCCGCGCGGAGTAATGTTGTCTTGGAACGTCATATCTCCACGCGGAGCTATTACCCTAGATATTAAAAAAAAATCATCGAAAAAGTTTCGATTTTCGCACCGATCTCGATTTTGAAAAAAAAGTGAATTTACGCCATTTTGTCGATTTGGGTCAAAATTTTGGATTTCCTTTTTTTTGATGCCAATCGATAGAACTGATCCTTACGAGTCAAAACTGGTATAAAATTCCAAAGTCGGACATTATTTGATGATTTGAAAGGTCATATCATATCCGCGCGGAGCTATGTCCTTTTGGAACGTCATATCTCCGCGCGGAGTTATGTCGTGTTGGAACGTCATATCTCCGCGCGGAGTTATGTCGTGTTGGAACGTCATATCTCCGCGCGGAGTTATGTCGTGTTGGAACGTCATATGTCCGCGCGGAGTTATGTCGTTTTGGAACGTCATATCTCCACGCGGAGCTATTACCCTAGATATTAAAAAAAAATCATCGAAAAAGTTTCGATTTTCGCACCGATCTCGATTTTGAAAAAAAAAGTGAATTTACGCCATTTTGTCGATTTGGGTCAAAATTTTGGATTTCCTTTTTTTTGATGACAATCGATAGAACTGATCCTTACGAGTCAAAAATGGTATAAAATTCCAAAATCGGACATTATTTGACGGAAATATTCCAAAAAATCATCAAAAGGATGGAATTTACGAACGAGTCGGTTTTTTGTCAACAATATATTTCAAACCATCGATGATTAATTTGTTTGAATGCCAATTGATGGTAGGGATCATTACGCATTCAAAAAGGTATAACATTTTAAAATCAGACATTATTTACCCGAGATATTAAAAAAAAATCGTCGAAAAAGTTTCGATTTTCGCACCGACCTCGATTTTGAAAAAAATCGTGATGATTTGGAAGGTCATATCATTTCCGCGCGGAGTTATGTCGTTTTGGAACGTCATATCTCCGCGCGGAGCTATTACCCGAGATATAAAAAAACATCATCGAAAAAGTTTCGATTTTCGCACCGACCTCGATTTAAAAAAAAAACCTGATGTAACCCCTTGCCATTTTGTCGATTTGGGTCAAAATTTTGGATTTCCTTTTTTTTGATGCCAATCGATAGAACTGATCCTTACGAGCCAAAACTGGTATAAAATTCCAAAGTCGGACATTATTTGATGATTTGAAAGGTCATATCATATCCGCGCGGAGCTATGTCCTTTTGGAACGTCATATCTCCGCGCGGAGTTATGTCGTTTTGGAACGTCATATCTCCGCGCGAAGTTATGTCGTGTTGGAACGTCATATCTCCGCGCGGAACTATTACCCGAGATATTAAAAAAATCATCGAAAAAGTTTCGATTTTCGCACCGACCTCGATTTTGAAAAAAATCGTGATGATTGGGAAGGTCATATCATATCCGCGCGGAGTTATGTCGTTTTGGAACGTCATACCTCCGCGCGGAGTTATGTCGTTTTGGAACGTCATATCTCCGCGCGGAGTTATGTCGTTTTGGAACGTCATATCTCCGCGCGGAACTATTACCCGAGATATTAACAAAATCATCGAAAAAGTTTCGATTTTCGCACCGACCTCGATTTTGAAAACAATCGTGATGATTTGGAAGGTCGTATCATATCCGCGCGGAGTTATGTCGTTTTGGAACGTCATATCTCCGCGTGGAGCTATTACCCGAGATATAAAAAAACATCATCGAAAAAGTTTCGATTTTCGCACCGACCTCGATTTTAAAAAAAAAACCTGATGTAACCCCTTGCCATTTTGTCGATTTGGGTCAAAATTTTGGATTTCCTTTTTTTTGATGCCAATCGATAGAACTGATCCTTACGAGTCAAAACTGGTATAAAATTCCAAAGTCGGACATTATTTGATGATTTGAAAGGTCATATCATATCCGCGCGGAGCTATGTCATTTTGGAACGTCATATCTCCGCGCGGAGTTATGTCGTTTTGGAACGTCATATCTCCACGCGGAGTTATGTCGTTTTGGAACGTCATATCTCCACGCGGAGTTATGTCGTTTTGGAACGTCATATCTCCGCGCGGAGTTATGTCGTTTTGGAACGTCATATCTCCGCGCGGAGCTATTACCCTAGATATTAAAAAAAAAAATCATCGAAAAAGTTTCGATTTTCGCACCGACCTCGATTTTGAAAAAAATCGTGATGATTTGGAAGGTCATATCATTTCGTTTCGTCATATCTCCGCGCGGAGCTATGTCGTTTTGGAACGTCATATCTCCGCGTGGAGTTATGTCGTTTTGGAACGTCATATCTCCGCGCGGAGTTATGTCGTTTTGGAGCGTCATATCTCCGCGCGGAGCTATTACCCTAGATATTAAAAAAAATCATCGAAAAAGTTTCGATTTTCGCACCGACCTCGATTTTGAAAAAAATCGTGATGATTTGGAAGGTCATATCATTTCGTTTCGTCATATCTCCGCGCGGAGTTATGTCGTTTTGGAACGTCTAATCTCCGCGCGGAACTATTACCCGAGGTATTAAAAAATCATCGAAGAAGTTTCGATTTTCGCACCGACCTCGATTTTGAAAAAAATCGTGATGATTGGGAAGGTCATATCATATCCGCGCGAAGTTATGTCGTGTTGGAACGTCATATCTTCGCGCGGAACTATTACCCGAGATATTAAAAAAATCATCGAAAAAGTTTCGATTTTCGCACCGACCTCGATTTTGAAAAAAATCGTGATGATTGGGAAGGTCATATCATATCCGCGCGGAGTTATGTCGTTTTGGAACGTCATATCTCCGCGCGGATTTATGTCGTTTTGGAACGTCATATCATATCCGCGCAGAGTTATGTCGTTTTGGAACGTCATACCTCCGCGCGGAGTTATGTCGTTTTGGAACATCATATCTCCACGCGGAGTTATGTCGTTTTGGAACGTCATATCTCCGCGCGGAGTTATGTCGTTTTGGAACGTCATATCTCCGCGCGGAGTTATGTCGTTTTGGAACGTCATATCTCCGCGCGGAGTTATGTCGTTTTGGAACGTCATATCTCCGCGCGGAGTTATGTCGTTTTGGAACGTCATATCTCCGCGCGGAGCTATTACCCTAGATATTAAAAAAAAAATCATCGTGGAGTTATGTCGTTTTGGAACGTCATATCTCCGCGCGGAGTTATGTGATTTTGGAACGTCATATCTCCGCGCGGAGTAATGTCGTTTTGGAACGTCATA